GAAAGAGACAGTGCAGTTGTTATTATTCCAATAGAGTGAGTTTCCCAGAGTTGTAGGGCCAGGAAGTTGCTAAACTAAGGCTAGAATTCAGGTCTTCTTATTCTGAATGCAGTAGTTTCCTTATAAGAGAGTAAGAGAGGAGATTATATATATATATCTATGAGATTATAGAGAGGAGATTTATACATAAATATACATCATATATTTATATATATATTTATATATATACATATATATACATCATACAATATATATAAATATGATGTATATATTTGTATGATGTATATATATATGTATATATATAAACATATATATAAATATATGATGTATATATATGTATAAATCTCCTCTCTATAATCTCATAGATATATATATATAATCTCCTCTCTTACTCTCACATATATATAATGTATATAATGTATATTACATATATATAATGTATATATATAATCTCCTCTCTTACTCTTACATATATATAATGTATATATATACATATATATAATGTATATAATCTCCTCTCTATAATCCCTCATATATATATATATAAAACCAGAAAAAATATATATATATAACCAGATATATAGATAGATAAATAGATAGATAGATATAAAACCAGAACATTTACTATATCTATGGAAAATATTGATAGACATTTGTTGAAGGAGTGAATACCAATTAAAGATTTGTCTCATCTAAGAGTGTAATTATAGTTCCCTTTAACAGATAACATATATCAAAAACTTATTATGAGCCAAATATTGCTATGGGCTTAACTTGCATTATCACATTGCTGCTGTGAGAGAAGTTCTACATGATACAGGAATTCCCCAACTTAAAAATTTAATAAGTGGCAAATAATACATTATATGTTAATAAAAAAATTATAAATGGGAGAGCAGGAATTCACACAATTCTGTGTCTTCCTAAAACCTGTATATACTCTTTAAGTACACTTTCCCATTGTCTTTTTCCAAGATCTTTTCTCATTTCCCATCCTAACTTCTTTGAAAGCAAAAAAGAGGGGAGGGAGGAGTTATGTCAGGCACAGAGAAGGAAGAAAACAAGTCATTTGTGCATTTGTCAGCTCACCCAGTGATCATTGGCTACTTTAGCACCAAGCTCAGTTCTGAGACTGTCTATAGTAGACCTTGGGGGTAACTTCCAAGAATGTCAGGTGCTATTTCAGAGACATGAGCAAAATGCTTCTGAAGCATAACTAAACAATGGTAGAACTAATGAAGCCTAGTCCAGAAAATCCAGGAAGGCTTTACCAAGGAGAAGGCATTTGAGCTGTCCAAAAGTATTTTCTCAGGGAAAGAAAGAATAAAGAGCATCTGCAACAGAACAACAGGCAGAATTATGGAAAGTAGTCCCATTGATGAGAAAATTTCAGAGTAAGTTTATAGAAGCACAGGATTCTGTCATAGGAGGCAGTATCATGTTCTGAGGAGCCTTCTTGTGTTGGAGTGAGGAGATTAGACTTTATCCGCTAGGTAATAGGAGCCAGCAAACACTTTGAACAGCAAAGTTATATGTTCTTCCATTTCTTAGGAAATCTAGCAGTCTTATGTTGGATGAGCAGAACATTTAGTCAAAGTGAAAGCCAATAAAGAGTTGGACTTGAGTGGAAAGATGATAGTTCCTGTTTTATTTCAAAACCATAAATAAAAATTAACGATAATCTAGCAACTGCTCTAGTGAGACTATGTGACCAAGAGATGTAAATGACTTAGCCATGTTACTGCTCTCATAGGTGGTGAACATACAGCTTCTTTCTTTGTTCTTTTTTTATTGAAGTACAGTTAATATACAATGTTACACTAGTTTCCAGTGTACAATATAGTGACTTGAGTAGTTTTTGCATTGTGCTATGCCCATCACAAATATAACAGCCTATTTCATAAAGAGTCTTCATTTTATTCAACCATTCAACAAATATTTATTGAGCTCCCTCTATGTGGCATGCACCATGCTAGGTGCACAATGCTTGGAGCATTATTTTAAGTACTGGTTATGGGGAAGTTCATTTGCAGCAACATGTAACTCTATTTATTCATAAAGCCAGAAAAAGCAGCAAAGAAAAGATGGGATATAAAGTAAGTGTCAAACAAACAAGAAAAGAGAGACTAACTCCTAAGACAGAAAAAGTGAAAATGAGGTTTAAGCTTAAGAAAGCAAGCATTGTTGTTAAGTAACCATTTCATTAAAAGTGCACTAAATTGTGGAGGTTTTCTCTCAGGAACTGCATACTGTGGACCAAGATTAAGTATAATGGGTTCCCACATGAATTCTTCTCATTACTTCTCTTAAAAGATCAGTAAATCTACTGAACGGGTAATTTAGGTTTAGTGTTCACAATCCGTTCATTTTACTTTTAATCTCTCCTGTTTAGAATTGTAAAAATGTAATATAGGTATAATCCAAAAGAGAAGGGATGAGGCCAAAATGAGACTATTTCAACTCCTCAGATAGTCTTGACATTGACAAAAATGCAATGAGCTGCAGATTTTTTATTCCTGATAGATGGTGATGGAGTTTCAGGCAGTTAATAAAGTATTGCACACTATTAATTGCAGGAACCAAGTAAAGGACGGCATAGGAAAGATAATCTATACCTCACCCTCCTGAATTCCTTGAATCTTTTTGTTATTTTCAGTGAAGACTCATCTTAATCCAATTAAGTTTTTCTTTTACTATAATTCAGCAGAGAGGACAGAGGTTTGAGGACTTTTATCCAGGACAAAAAGAAATCAATAATTTGGGAAGAAAAGTTCTAGAAAATAAGACAATCAATTATTTAATCCTAAGAATGTGATTTTTATCATTTATCATTTATCACATTTTTATCACATTTTTCAAAAATGTGAGCCTGAAAAATGACTTACAATCATCTTTTCCACTGTTAAACTACCCCAGTCAGTCTGTTATATGAGAAAAATAGACAAGACAATAAAAAAACAACAAAACAAAAATCAGCAAGCACAGTCTTTCATAAGCATTATTTCTGGAAATAATAAAGTCCCTTCTGATTTTTTGGACCTCTCCTTGAATTTTCCATTAGACATGGGCCCCATTCTGGGTTCAGAGTGTGCCTATTGATTCCTGATTAATTTGAGTACCCTATTAGGAGAGTTTCTTTGAAATCCAAGGGGAAAAAGAAATTTTCACACCTAAGATGGAGCCATACTACATAAAGTGATAAATATATCAAAGCTGATTTGTACATATTAGGTTATGTTAATTTGAAACTGAATTATAGCTTATAATGCTTATAATTTGCTTTTGTTTTCCCATATTAAATCAGAATTTTAAAGTATAAATTTCCTCTTCAGATTTGAAAGAAGTAAACATAGCCCAATATTGATGAGAAACTAAATTTAAGAGTACCAACTTATCCTAAGGAAATTAGTGGCATAGGATATTCTCTGGATAAATATTACATTCTTTGAAATAATTGTTATGACATTTTAATGCATTCTCACCATGAAACATTCCCTTGTAAATGACTAAACCAGAGTACGTCTTAACAATTATTTCATGAGAGAAAACTTCAATACTCTTAGAGTTACTATCATAAGACTAATGTAAAGGGAAAAAAAAAAAAAAAAAACAGAAGTGAAATACCAGAAAGAAGTGGTTTAAAACAGTACAGGGTTAAGCATTTCATTTAAATAAATACACATAGTTTGAGAGGCCAAAACTTCCAATGATTTCACAAAATTTTCCAATGAGCTCTAAGGAAATAGAAAAGAATCCAAAGAATTTCCAGAAATTCCTCTAACTTTTATGATTTTTGTATGACCCATTGGTCTATATCAAAATAAATGCAAGTCAAATAATTATTGGAATACTGCCCTCTAAGTAGACAAATGCACCTTTTTTTAAGGTAATTCACCTATTCCATCAAAAAAGAAAAGATCTCTAATTTGAAGTGCTTCTCTTCAGCTTGCATTAAACATCCTTTCATATGCTCAACTACTGTTAAAGAGAAGTGTTGAGTTCTTTCAAAATGTTATTTCAAACTGTATGCATCTATGCTCATTCCAGCCAATTGTTTTTGATTGCAACATGAAAACTGAAGAGTGTATTGGAGTTTTGCTATGTCATTATCCGAAAAAATACCTTATGAGTTGTGGATTCCAAATCTTTGGATGTGCACACTCACACATAAAAATCTGTCTTTTCTGATAGAGTAAATGAAAGCCAAGATTAAGTAATGAAAATCTGCACCCAACATTCTAATGTTTACGATCATCACTAATCCCATGAACTGATACATCTAAAAGACATTTTCCCTGGTACTTACTGATCTCTTTGACTGCAGTTGTTCTTCAACTATGTTCTAATCATCTTGCTCCCAACACGAACCAAGTGTTTTGAACATCCTTTGTGTTTTATAACTACACTGATTAACAGAAATTCAGGCTGACCCTACTCCCTGATGGTGATGGTTATGGGAGGAATAAATCTTTGTTAAGTAAAGGCACATGGCTTTGGGACCAGAAATCTTTCACCTAAGCACTCTCATCCTGTTGTCTACAGTGTATTTACAAAAGCAATCATTCAATAAAGTTGCACAAGATAATCTTTTAAGTGCTATCTTCTCATAATTTCCAAAAATTGCTATTCCTTTTCAAAACTATTGTCTTGCCACAGTATAGGCCTGTCTCAGAATGTCAAAGCAATAATTTTGGCTCACTGATTATTTTTCCTATCCTTTTAAATATAGGATGTTTATGGATATTTAAATATTTCTTAAATATGGTAGCTGCTAAATCATTATATAAAATATTAAATGTTCAAATTCTTTATTAGCAATTGTTGCAAACATAACTTCCATGTCTTTCTTAAAATAGGGCATGTTTGATTTCTGTATTATTGTCATATAAATTGTAAGGACAAAAATAGGCCCTATGACTGAATGTACAAAATTCCCCTTAAACCACCTTGAACTAGGCAGATTTGCAACATTTTAAACTGGCACTTCATCCCTCTTTCAGCAAGCATCCTCTGCAGATTTAATGATCAGGAACATCCTTCTGATGCATGCTGGGAGATATGGCTGCAGGGTACAGACCACAGCAGACAGTGTGTCAGATGAGGCAGAACTTCTGGTTAGGGGTGAGTATGCTAATAGTGCAGTCTGAAGACATGATCACCATAAATTATCATACAAAGGAATTTAAATGCATGGACTTTGAGCACATCAGGACTGTGCATTTTACTTTCAATTTTACAATATATGTCATTTTTGCTTAACCTTTTGTCTTTGAAAAACTACATGGAAAACTGCTTCTTAGTAACAGACAAAACCTATAGATCCAACTTCAGGATCTAAAACACCTTTAGTAGTAAGTGGTCACTTAGTGTTTCACCAACTTAATGCCAAACAGAAATTTTAAACAGTTGAGTCACAGATACTTGGACTTCAGAGATAAAATTTGTTTGTGTGTTGATGTGTTTTTCAAATGCAAAGCTAATGGAACCCCTAGGCATTTTTTTTTTCCTCCACTAACTTCTAAATTCTGCTTCCCCAAACAGGAAAACTGCATGCCTAATATGATGGCATTTGCAACTGTTCAGTGACAGGGATTTTTTAAGTATGAAAATATCAAACAGAGTCTGTGCATAAATGACAGTTAAGTGGTTTCCACTATGAACTGGGCTGCCAAATTCTGCAACTTTATAAAGTTACATCTTATTTGAATTAAGTAAATGACTGTAGCACAAATTTCTTTTAGCACATTATTCCCCAGGATGGGAAATGCAGCTCCTAGCATGCATATTCTTTCTCTCTCTCTTTCCTTATTCCCTCTCTTCCTTCCTTCCTTCCTCCCTCCTTCCCTACCTCCCTCCCTTCCTCCTTCCCTCACTTTTTTCTTTCTTTTCTCCCTTCCATCCTTCCTTCCTTCCTTCTCTCCTCTCTCTCCCTTCCTTCCTTTCTCTTCTTTTCTTCTTTTTTTTTTTTTAGCTTGAGATACAATATACCTACAGAAAATTCCACAAATTATTTGTGTACAGGTGTATAACTCAGTGAAAGATCAAATGTGAATACACCATGAAACTAAATTCAAGACAACAGCTAGAACATTACCAGAATCTCACCTACTGCCCCTCCTTTTTTGATTTTAAACAATTACATTTGAGTGATGTGAGTATTGTATGCTAAGACTCCTTGCATGATCTCTGCAAATAAAATTCACAATCCATAGCAAAAACTTGTATTTTAGATTTGTCTTTTATCTACGTGAAGTGTTTTCCAATCATAATTTTTAAGAATTCATTAATATAAAAAATCTTGAGTAGGAAACGTAAGGCATATAGTAAGTTTTATCATCTGTTTTAGTGGTATGTATTATCAAAGGTTTATTGATTTTTGGTAGTGCATCCATTATTGATCCAAGTAAAATACTGTTTTGATACAAGTGTGTATCTGAGTGAGTGGCATTTTGTTCATTTTTGGATGTGTGTGTGTTCCATTCCAAAGGTTATTTGAACTTTTCTCCAAATTTATATCAAGAATGTGTATCTCTATTACCCTTTTACAAAACAACAACCTTTTAAAGTGCTCATCCTCATGATATTCCATTTAGGTGAAAATTTTTCCTTTATGACTTTTGAAGTTATAAGGCTCATGGAATTGCAAACCCCATATTGCAGTCAAATTTATGGAAAATTGCTTTCTTCTCTTGTGTTCTGTTTTAGATTATGTGTATTTATTGTGTAGCACTTGCCTAGTAATTTAGAATGATGCTCCTAAACTTGGAGCTTTCCAAATAGATAACACAATTTAGAGGCTGATAACAAGAAACTAGGTATTTTTACAGGGTTATGAGGAGCAAATTTAAACCAACATTCTGCTTTGTAAGTAAAATTAAACTCAACAGAGTTTAGAACATAATTCAGGTTCAGCTTTTTTGTGTTCTGCTCTTTTAGCCTTTGGCTTTATGCCTAGGAGAAGACAAAAATGCATAAATGTTAAAATTACACTCAAAAGAAATTTCAAGCAAGTTTCTATTGTCTGAATATTCATGTAACATTCAACTCAAGCTTTCATTCAAAATGAGTTTGATCAAGTCACCAATATTTTATTATATAGTTGCTTTACTTCTCTAAAATTAGTAAAAATAACTTGCCTCTTCTGCCTGGTTGGTCTCAGACAGATTTAAAAACTTAACTAGGGGTTTTGGTTCTTCCTTTTTTATTTTTACTATTTGTTAACAGCTCCTGGTAATTTAAGGAACTTGGATGCTTGACTTTTGCAGTTTCTCATGTTGAGTTGTGAAATAAAACTCAAAATAGTTTTACCCTGCTGTTCTTTCTCCCATTCCCATTCATTGATTTATAAAGTTGGGGAATTCTAATAGTATAGGCCACAGGACCAAAGTTGAGCATTTTAAATGGAGTTTTTCTAATGATGGCTACAGTTAGGGCACCAGAATCCTTAAAGTACATTTATTCAAGTATATGTCACATAAAAATGGGAAGAGCAAAGACAATTCCATCATACATCTTCCTATAGAATACCATCATTGGATTGTCTCAGCGGTTCTCTTCGCTCAGTGTTGACCATGAGGAACATTCTTGGGTGGCCAGCGATAAGTTTCTATAATCCTGTAATTCTATTTTAGTGGGGATTTAGGAGATTAAATCTGTTCCTCAAGATTGATAGAAGCTACTTTTTTATCATCCCCTTTCCCATTAAATATAGTCTTTGAAATACTTTTGTACATCTTATCAAGTCCTGAAATTTTTCTCCAAGCCTCTTAGGAACATCAGATTGGAGCTCAGGTGTCTAGCCCTAAGACCTCGTCATTGCCTGCTTAAAATCTGAGTGTTCCCAACTAGTAATGTCTCCCGCTTCTCTACCCATTCACTATTTTAAAGCTATATTTCCCCAAAATGCTTGTTTCCACTGTTGCTTCATTTTGCTTGTGAATGTCAGTTCTATTATTCACCTCTTTTCCACTATTTTTGTCATCCTCCAAAAATTGAATTTTCCTTTAATTATCTGAAGCATAAAATCACTTGCTCTTGTATATTTAATATTCAGTGAACCAGCATTATCGCAGCACCACAAATAATTTGGAGAGCCATAACAGAAGTAACAAATATGTTAAAATAACTTATTTTGCTGAAATACAAAGGGAAGTTAAAGCCACACCTGGACATCTGTGCACAATTTAAGTCACTTATTCAAGTGTGATATAGCAACAAAACAGAAAGTAGGGCTAGACGATGTTATGGGAACCTCTTTACAGATAGATAGAACTGTATTATGTTTCTAGGGCAAAGGAGATTGATCATTAAGAGGTAACACGGGAGGATATAAGATTTGTAAAGAACTGATACTCCCAAGCAATATGAGAGTTGGTCAAACACAATATTAAAACTCCAGAGAACAGAGTGTTAGTTTTTTGTTATTTTATTTTTCTAAAATGAATATTAGAAATATGTTTCCCCAAGCCAATATAAGAGCAGGAAACTATCATGGTTTAAAGAATAAAACGTGTTTAGCAGTAACTGGGATCAGAGCAAGAGTTCTATTTACTCCACCCAGGGACAGAAGAGTTCAAAAATTCACTTCTTCATTAAATTTTATATTCATATTGCTCTGTTTATTAATATAAGACAGTAGTTCAAGAACTCTTGGGATAGTCAAAGAATAATCAATAATCCTTTGGCTCCTCCTAAATGCGTACCTTATGTGCTCTTCTTTCTCAAAACTTGGACAATTTTCATTTCCTTCATTACAACTTATAGAATGAATCTGATGTTTATTAAATCGAATTTGAGAAGAAAGACTCCACCTTAGGATGTAATTTATTGAGAGATCTCACTATTTTTAATCATTCACCCTTTCTTATTCAACTTGATGTTCAACTTCTCTTTCAGTTTTATTTGCTTTAAACTTTCCATCAATTCAATTCTATTTTTTCTTTTGAAGAAAGCTTTTTTCCTCAAATATTTTACCTATAATCTCTCCCAACCCACCTAGTCACTTTTCACTGCAAATATAAAACTATTAAAAGTTTGACTGTTTTATCACTTAAATAAGTCAACAGGTATACATTGATAATTTGTTATCCATTCACTCATTCATTCACATGGTAAATTCTCTGTATCAAGCTCTGAGCTAGGCACATGGATGGAAAGATGAAGACACCAAAGTCTCAGCCCTCTGTGTAGTCCTATGGTCACTAGTGTGAGAGGCATCTTTGGGAATGGCATGAGAGCACTAAAAAAGTAAAGCTCACTGGGTAACTTTCAGTCTTTTAGGGGAAATAATACTAGGAGACAACAAAGGCATAGCTACAGGGCTACATAATTTGTGAGAACCAGTGCCAACTAAAAATTCAGAGCCCCTTGGTCAAAACTTCATAAGAATTTCAAGACAATGAGAGCAGAGCCTTAATCAAAGTATGGAGACCCTTTAAGTTAGGGACCCTGAGTGACAGTGCAGGTAGCAGAGCCATGAAGCCAGCCTGCTATACCTATTAAATTACGTATTACTCTACAAGAAGAAAAAGGACTTTACCAAAGGATACTAAAATATTTTCTTTTTTCAATTACAACAAAGTTGTCTAAATCTGCTTTCTCATCTGAGATATTAGAACCTCTTCAGGGGTTTTATCAGCTTTTTATATGAAATGTCTTTTAATTATTCTACTCCATTTTGGAAGATTTTGTTTATTGTGTTAAAGTAATCATTAATTCATATTCCTATTTTAATTTCCACCAAAAACTCTTGTCATCATGTGGTATCTGGTATTGCTGGCTAGATTTAAATCTAGCCAACAGCAGAGACTTTACATTTTAGCTACTTGTGAAGTGTTACTTGTTTTATTTTGCTTTCAAATTAACCTAAAGATATCAATTACTGCCTGATGGAAACCAGTTTGGAACCTTTGACTAAATACTGTCTAAACTATAATTTTCAGTGATTCTCACTAGCAAGACAGGAAAGTTTGAGTATCTTCTGCTTTTTGCCCTTAGAAGGATGCAAGTACAATAACTTTCCCAATAAAAAGGGAAATTCAAGCTTAGGTGAAAATCTTGAACATATTTCTATTTTGAGAATCTGATTTGAGAATTAAACATTACTAATGTGTTAATGTGCT